AGCAGTGGGTCCATCTTGGCCAGCATTACCCTTTTTGGACATGGAAGATGCTTGGGACAGCCTCTCACAGAGCCACCCCTGTAGACCTCATGTTACCAAAACCTGGCCATGCAAGCCCAATAAACATGTACAGCAATTCATGTTGCTTGGAGAAAGTTGTTCTTAAGTGTGATGGAGACTACCTATTTTACAAGAGTTTGTATTTTTGTTTCATCTCCTCTGCAACAGGACATTATCTACAGTGTTTGTTCCCTGTTGACATCCAAAGATATGCAGATTGTGGAGACCTTTGAATTTCTCAAGGTCAAATCAAACTGAAGGGAATCATTCCTCATCCAGCTTAATCGAGCCAAGTTGCTTGCTTTGGCACTGCTGCAGCATCCTAAAAAAGCAGATTTTTCTTGCTTGTGGGCAGGTGGTTAGAATACCATATAGAGCTCATTTTTGACTGTCAAGATTGAAATTATTTCTCAGCCAAGGATAGCTATAAGTACATCTGTTAGCTATTAAATTGTGGAGAAAAAAAAACTTTGCAAAGGTTCAAAATGTACCTCATATGTAAGAAAAAAATAAATCAGAATTTCAGACCAACTTCTGTAAAAATGTCTAAAAAGATAAATGCAATTCCATTATGCTCTGAACAAGAAAACTGCAGCTCTGGTAGACCCTGTTCTTAAGCCAATGAGACTTCAACTACAGTTTGAGCAACAGCAGCACAGGTGATTATTACTAATGTGTCGAAGACTTCCGTAAAATCTGAAATTATTCTTTTGCTCACACCAGTATGGTTTTTGACATATGTTTGTGTTCTATATATCAAAATCTGGGTAGTTTCATGTCTTTGCCTGTAATATTGCTAAAGCAAACCATTTAAATGGGAAGAATAAGAGGTGTGAAATATTTTTTATTTTTTATTCTAAGATAATAAATTTAAGAAAGTGAAAGACTACTCTTCATTAGTAGAGGCTTTATGAAGTTCAAGAGATTGTTCAGTAATTATAACTCATCCTAATGAGCTAGATATGAAATTAACAAATACTAAGCTAATTATTACTTACAGCAATTTTTCTCTTAAGAATTCATCCAGATATCTTCTAAATTTAATTAAAAACTTCATGTGTGAGAGCTAACAGAGGTCATGGTTACAGTCAGTCAGAGAAATGAGTCTAAGGATGTTCTACTAAGAAAGAAAAAGAGAAGTTTGTAATGCTTTCAAAATATATTATTGCGTGCAAATCCTTTGTAGCAAAGACCTCTCACAAGGAATTTATGTAAAATTCCTGATGAGCTAGTAGTGCTTTTAAATTGGTATTTGCCATTAGTTTTGCAGCCATTGTTGAAGAGTGCTAGAAGCATTCTAAAGTATTTTTTCACTTTGAATTGTATTTATTTTTCACTGAACTATTGATCATTACACTTACAACCGTTATTCATTCACACAGATCTAAACCCTCAAATGTGATAGCAGTCTGCAAGGCTCTCCTAAGAAAAAGGGTGGAGTCAACACTTTTCAAAATTGCTTGTGTTAATAAATTGGCCTTGTACGATTGTACAAAGTGATGGACAATAGTTTTATTTCAGAATGCCCAGCTAAAATGTTTAACTAGTGAAACTAATAAATGGTAGTTTGTGCATTTAGACCAGGAGCCATATTGCCACTGCAACACACACATGTGGTCTTTTCCTTGCAATTTTGGTCAGAGATTAAAATTTCTGCAGGATTCATGGAAGAGAGGGACAATGACTAATTCTGACTATGAATCAATTTGGATTCTCTTCTTAGTAAAGAAAACCAAGTTTGTGGTTTTTTATTTTAAAAATACTAACATAGTCTCTGCAAGAGTAGTTAAAAATAACCTACCATAATGAACCAAACATGACTTTCTAAAGCCTGTAGCCTGGTTTGTTTGCAGCATGACTTGATTGCTCTATTCTGGAGTAACTCAAAAATGAAATTATTTTAAAAATTAAAACCAATATCAAGAAACAGATGGTCCAGCTCACTGTAACATGAGCCTTTGCTGTAGTTTGTTATCAATGCATGTAGTAGAGATCTTGAATAGAAGTTTGTTTTCAAATTCCAGAGTGTTCCACAGGACAGTGTTTGCAATAGGATTTCTAGAAAGAATACAGAGTGCCCAGATAACTGCCCTATGCAAATGCTGCAGTAAGATTTTGAAGTAATTGCTCTAGGAAAATAGATTTTCTTGCCTTTCTTCTGTTCCCTTGTATGAGGGCACTTATTTTTTACAATATATCTTCTTTTTTTAGCCTCCACATGGGCAAAATTTGATGATTTATATAACCAATACATGAAATGGCAGAATGTTTTACATTTAACTGCTGAGTTTAAGGTATTTACTCATGAAGTATCACTCCTCTTTACTAAAGCAGACAATTAGAACTGCTGATTTTGTTTCTTTTCCATTTCTTTTTTTTCCCCCTATTCCCTTAATATGTTTATTAACATTGTAAATTTTCATTCTATTTCCTCTAAGTAAAAACTATTTGTATACAATAATCCGCTTTTTCAGTATGAGAATTTGTATTTAATTCCTCTTTAGTCACTACAAGAGACTTTATTTTTGCACAATTGTAGAAAAATATTCTGGTTTATGATGCTTATCTCAAGAGAAGAAAATGAATATGTATTTACCATGTTTTAGAAATAATAAAAAAAACCAATTATAGTTAATGCACACTACAATCTTTCTCTTTTTGCCTTAGGCCTTAAAGAACACACCATACACCTGTGTTAAACCCTTTGATTTTCACAGGATCTCTTTTGCAAGAGACCTATCCATGCAGACCATTTTTTTTCCTCCAATTTTATTTCTAAGTACTTTTTACAAAACTTTTTTTTTCCTTCCTTTTAGTGATTTCCCAATCATAATAAAGGAGGAGATTATTTAGGGATAAGAGATTGTGTCAGGTCTGAATTTGAGTCACTGACTGGCCTTTGCCATATTATTTTCCTGACATCAGTAGAATTAACTTTCAAATCCTTTGCCCTTCTGAGTGAAATTTAGTCTTGTGCATGAAGTCTGTAAGGGTACAAAACTTTATCACAATATACTCTTGTGCATTCAGGAGGACGAATGGAAGAGAAAATTAAATACTTTTTTAGCTATTGTTTGCCTTTATCACTGATGGAAGAGACCCATTTAGTAATTTTCAGAAGTGTCTAATCAAACAGCTGAATTAATGAACAACTCTCAACCTATACTTTAAACTTTGTAAAAGAAACAATCAATGAGATGAAGGATTATGAAATCTGAAAATGTAAATAACTTTATTGTCCAAACTGCATGCCATATCTCTTAAAAAAAAAAAGGATTTGCATAGTAATAAATTGCTTTTTTTAGCATAATTGAATTATTATAATGTACTCATTGTATTTAGGAAATCATATATTTACCAACTAGGACAGTTTTGCATTTTTGTTTTGAATGCTTTAGGAATTCAGTCTTGAATAATGTGTAATATGGAACTGTTCTAGAAAAAAAATGAAGCTCAGTCTTTTTCTTTTCTGTAAATAGTCTATTATTTTTTCAGCTTTCAATGAAAGTACATGTAGAATTCCATTAGAATATAGTACTGGAATGGTCATCCTTTTAGCTGCCAAAAAATAGCCATTTGAAAAAGGATTATTCAGATTTTGTGACTTACAAATAAAGTAATTATTATTTTCATTTGATTAATACAGTCAAAGTTAATAAAATGTACTTTTGAGGATTCCTTATTCATCTAATATTCCATGGCCTCTAGGTTATTGATTAGCTCATCTTTTAACATACTCACCCTCCCCCCCAGCCAAAACAAGCCTTCCCAAACCCAATATTTTTCATTTTGACTTGTGAATATCCCTGATTAGTGCTGTTGCACAGTTCAGCTCAGTCTCCTGGTGAAGATGCTTTTCTGTCTTCAGTTGAATTTATTTTAGTTTTAGAGTAGCTCCTTCTGCCTTCTGCTGCAAGGGCATATCTTCCAGACAGTGAAAAGCAATGAGCAGCTGGAGGCAACAAGCTAGATCAAAAGTCTGTTTCTGTAGATGGACAGATTTGTTTATTCAAAACTAAATAAGAGGTATCACTCTTCATAGTCCCATCTGTAAATACTTTATCCTGGTAATAATTCAGTGTGCATGACAATTGCTGTCTGTGGTTAAAGCACAACAACATCACTGCATGAATGATTGCAGAATAACAGGTCCCATCTGAAAGAAAGCAGAAGTGTGTGGTAGAAGGCAGACTGGCATTGTGAAAATGACAGCTACTTGGGGAACTAAATACAGGAATTTTGCATCCTCTGCACCTCAGCTTTAGTACTAATCTGTAGTTTGTCATTTTGTAATACTGGGACATGCTGCAGCAGTATGATTTTCTGTAGAGGATGGCATCAATGCCATTTTTCTTCATCACTTGGTCTTCTCTTAAAGGTTTATCCTGTTTAGCTTGTGGCAGCTGAACAAATCCTACCCCCAGGACAGAATAATTGCAGGAATCTGAGGCCAGTTCAGATACAACAGTATATTTTTGATGAAGAAAAACAGTCTTAAACTTTTTCATTATGTGACTGCAAGATATGAATGTTAACTGGTATTTACCTGAGATAAAATATTATGGTTCAAAATTTTGTTACTACAGAACTGAAGTGAATAACCTATTATTTATTTTTAACTGAAAAGTCCCTTTCTTGTGTTGTGATTTCTGACAAAACAATGTAGTAAACACTTGATAATGCAACCAGCTCATACAAAAATTTTTATATATTTTGACTTGAGTAACACTCCTGAAATCCAAAGGAATTCAGTGCAGGCAGTTTAAACTAATGGTGAGTTGTATGCAAGGTCAAATGCCATACTCAGAAATATGTGAATTTTTCCTAACAAAACATTGTTGGACTTGGGGGTTTTTGTTTATGTTTTGGTTTTTGGGTTTTTGGGGAGATGTTTGTTTCTAAAATCTTTTAAACTAACCATTTTTTCCATTTCTGCTTAGAACCATTGGATACAAAAAGAAGTATGTGAAAGTTCCACACGGTCATATTTGGGTGGAAGGAGATCACCATGGGCACAGCTTTGACAGCAACGCTTTTGGTCCTGTAAGTAAATTCTCTGTATGTCACACTTTGCAACTGAAAAACTATGCATATGAAACACAGTGAGTATGAATTGATTGTGAGTGTAGTTTTGTTGTTTTTGTGAGAATTATTAAACTTTGTAAAATATCTTGGTCAGCCGATACTGAGTTTTTTCTTAGCTACTATAAAAAGAATAAGGACTTCCTTCAATTCCCCACATGGAAGGGGATGTGGTAGAGATTTTAATTTTGGAGGAATATGCTGGAGCTGTAGCCAGAGGGTGAGCCAGCTCCCTGTAGCTGACAGATGCTCCCTGAGGACATTTTGCCAGCTGATACAATTTGGATTGATTCCCTCCTGGGAACTTGGTCCTGCTTTAGTGCCAGTGCTGGGATAAAGAATTGGGGAACTGTAACCATGCTTAATAAGCGTGAACTGGTAAATTGGTCAGTGGACAGTAGTAGAGATATTTAAAACTTTTCCCAAAGTAAATATTAAAATTTTCTTTGCATATTGAAGGAAAAGAAAATGCAATCCATAAAATCTCTTTCTTTATGGGTAAAAGTGTGCATCTTTTTGTCAGCAGGACAGTAAATTCTTTCTCTGAACTCTAGTTTGGGTTTGGTTTTGGCTTTGTTATGCTTTGTATAGATTCTTGTTCTTGTTTTAACTTAATCTAGCATGCAGGAAATAGTTGCATAAACTGTGTATCCTGCTGTGGAAATACAAACTATTTTAGCCCTATTCCACATGCAGGATTTTTCATTCTTTTCAAGGGAGAATATTCCTCTAATGTTATTTAAAAGCCTACTGCTTGTTATAGGGAAGCTGTCAAGACTGGATTTTTCCACCTTGTGCATTTCATGTCTATTTCATACAGAAGTCCTCCCACTAACTAATTGAATTAATGACAAGAAGGACCTTATGAGTTTATCTGGCTTCTTGAAGTTTAGCCCAATTATTAAATTGAAATAATTTGTTCTCAAGAAATAATACAAAATAGGCCCACTGTCTGATTTGGAGCGTGTAATGGTGATGTCTTCTTTTAGTTTGTCTCACTTTTTGTGTGCTTGTATTTCCTGCTGTTTTTCATTATTATTTTCCTTCTACTATCTTCCAAGATTTCTAACATCTAGTTTTAGAGGTTCTTTCTGACAGAATTAAGTCAGTCTATCCTGTGTAGGTATCTCTTTCCTCCCTTAGTAAGCTTTTCTCTGTCACTCTCTGTTCCCAACATAAATCTTAGTCATAAAGCTACTAATCTTCTTTTCACTTACAAATATATTGCCAATGTAGGCTCAGAGCATAAAGAACCTTTAGCAGTTGGACATTGGTTTCAGATTTACAGCAGCTCATACAGAAATTCATACAAGGTAAAATCCTCAAGGTACTCACAATGCAGCTTTCATGCAAGACAGAATGCTGGGGTAAATCTAAATACCCTCAGATTTTTGCTCCATTCACTACTGTTTATAAATATTAGTAAATCCCCTTCACTAGCCTTTAGCTCACATTAATCATCAATTGTTAGCTAACATCAGATAGTATATCACTTTTCTTACCGCAATGACACTTTTGAGAGCTAGCAGGACAGATTTTGACAGTGAATTCTTTATCTTTCTTCAGGAAGAATGACCTTTGTATTACTTTGATGAATACATTATGGGCAAGTCAGCTGTAAATAGGTGTTTTCCTCTCAAATTAAATTAGAACAGCAATTGCTGAATGCAAGCAGAAGGAACAGAAGAGATCACAGGGTCTGAAACTAACTCCAGAATGCTAAAATATAGAATTTTTCTGTCTGTAAAAGGAAATGGAAAGTGCATTTAGAAGGACTCACTGCACTCTAGGTTCTTTTCATACTACACATATAAGATTTTAGGTTACTGCGACATTTTTACTGCTCTTCTGTACTCTGGAGATTATTTGCACAAGTGAATTAAAATATTGAAATCACTCTTTCAAGCCATTCAGAAGGTATGTGCTTTTTGAAAAAAAAAATTCTCTCCTAAGACTGCAGCAGTGGTAAGGAACAGACATGGTAAGACATGGAAATGTTTTTCTCTTTGTTAGCATAAAGGTCACTTAAGATATGGGGTTAAATGTGTGTCACATTAGGACATGTGTGTCACAATTCTGACTTTCAAAATGATGTTTTCTTTAATCAAAAGATGCACTAGAAATAGTGGGGGGCTTAAGTGGACAGTGTTGTAGGCTGCCATTTCCTCTACTTTGATGTGATTGTATAGTAGAAAGGCATTTATAGTGCAGAGAGACTCAGTAATGTCTTCCAGATGAACTTAATGGGCTACATGGGGCATAAAAGGAAATTATAGAAAAACAGATTGAGAACAGATGTCAGAATATTTTTTTTCTCTTGGAGAATAACTCTGTGTAATGGCCTAATGGGTTAGGTTGATAAAGCATAAACCCTGATACCAATCAAGTTCTGAATTAGATGCACATTTGAAGAGATAGGAATTTCTAAACTACAAAACTTGGCCTGATTAAATTGTCTTTATTTACTTCAGAAAAATGTTATAAAATAAATAATATTTTGTTATTGCGTGGTTTTACAAGGCTGAAATTGGATTTTTAAAGAATAGACACATATTTTCCTGAAGTGTGTAAATAAAATCAAAGTGCTTAAACTAAGATTTAAAAGGTTTACTATTTTTGTTCTTAATTTTGTCTTTGAATAAAATTAATACCTTAACTGATAGTAGAAAAATAACAGGGTATATATGGTTAGTGCTGAATTAGAAATGCTATTAGCTTTGTATGTGATCAAAACTTAGATATTCATTACCTTTTCTTAATACAGGACTAAATTCATTAAATAATGGCTATTGTACATTGTCTTTTAAAAAATGCTTTGTGTAATACTGAATAGCAGGTGATACAGAGTACTGTTGCTGTAATACTAATGTGTTTCAGGTTTGGAAATCTGCCAGCCATTCTTAACAGTGAAAATAGCAGTTTTGAATAGAAGCCAATAAACATCTAGAGAACTTGCATATTTTTACTATAATTTAAGGGGTAAAAAATTACATGTTATTGGATTTTTTTTTCAGTTACTTGGACTAGCATGAAGATTTCTCTTCAACTGACTGTTGCTGTTTCTAAATTCTGAGTGAAGTTTTATAATATTAGGGTAGCATTCCTTATTTGGCATACTACAGAAATGTGATAATGAATACCTAATATAATAAAGGTACCACTTATTAAAGTTTCTTTTTTTTTTGTTTTCAATTATGGTAGTTTTCCTGTTTGATGGACCTTTTTACTATGGGTTATAGTTCAACAGCATAGGAAATATAAAAGTAATGTTCCTGGCAATGGTTTTGCTTTCTTAGATCAGAAATGCAGGAGATATTATAAAAAAATGATAAAGCTTTAGATTCCCCTGCTGCTTCAAATTCCTTAACAATTTTAAAGGGTTTACTTTATGCCAGATCAGGTATTGTCTTTGCTTGCATAGTCAGGATAATATCAGCATAAAAGCAAGGTGACAATTTATATTCTGTGTTCAATGTTCTGGCTAACTCAAGGGAGAAGTCGTTATAAACTGTACTTTGTGTAGATTAAATGTTTAGAGCTGGCAGCCAGCAGTGCAGAGATGGTTATCCAAACAGTATGTGAGGGTATCTAAGAAACAGTTATGAATAAGTGCATGGTATAACTGATATATTCCTGGATGTACACATGTGCAATGAGAAGCTCTCTCATAATTTTTAAAGTAAAACAGGCAAATTTTATCCTATAATGCTCTTATTTATACATTTACATGTTTCCAAATGCCTCCAACCTGGGGATATGAAGGACCTTTATAAAATTAGGGCTTGCAATCAATGGCAGTCTTTCAGCTGTCATGTGTAAGACCTGAACAAAAGCTCATTAAAGTCAATGAGAGCTTTCTATTGCCTTTAATGGCTTTGGAGAAAGTTCTTTCTGAATTAACCTGTACAATCCAGTGTAAGGGCAAAATCAAAAGCTATTATCCTCCTTATCTTTCTTGGAAACTTGTGACACAGGTAGATTCAGTACCCTGTCAAAAGTGTCTCTTTTTGCCTATCCAGGTCCCTATCTCAGCCCTTTTCCTAAAAATACATCTTTAATGTGTTTATTTTCAAAACTAAATCTTGTTGAACCTGAGCCAAATTTTTTTGTTTGACAGAAGTTTTACATTTATAAGCTTCAAATGAGTAAATTGCTTTTAGTTAGCATTACTGTAGAGGCCAATTTTTATGATTGCCTATTCTGTACTGTACATTCATGGAATAAAATATCTGAAAAACCTTTCTATCTGTTTAACCACATTTTCATTTAAAAGCACAAACCTGTAGACTGTGGCTAGGAAATTATAAACTAGGATGCCACTGAACAGAATATCCTGGATTTATTAGGTATTTTGATTTGATTTTTGAAGGCAATCATCATCCCTTTCAGCTTTAAGATAGGAATGGTTTAACTGTTAACCCTCAACAGGCAAATTAAATTACTTACAGAAGCAGAATGTGGCCTCTTATGATGTTTTCTAGGCTGATCTAGTCTTTCTCTCTGTAATTACTGTTAGTGAATACAAACAGTCAAAAGCAGAAATAAGAAAATTACATTAGAGAGTAAGTTGAATGGAAATATGACACTTCTAGTGGAGTGCAGAGGTTACTGCTGGTAAAGGAAATACTTAAATCAAGATGTCTGCAGCTAGTGAGAGTACCTGTGCTTCATCTTCTGAGGGCAATTGAAGGAGGAAGCAGATCTCTTTGTGCTGTTTTGAATTACTTACATAACAGCAAAGAAAGAATGCCACATGTCCTAAGAGTGCACATCATCTTGGTGATGATCTTGCCGTCTGGAGAAACTTCCATATGTGAGCTGTAAACTGGTGCAGGGATTACATATCTCCCTGAAATGGAGCAGCCTCTAAGACAAGAGGTGGGAAGAGTTTAACAGCTCCCAGCAGTGCACTGAGCATCCCTGCATTCAGTTACACAATAAGGCTCATAGCTAGGGCACGC